TATATATTTATATATGTTTATCAGCTCAGTTGACTGCGTTATTTGAAACTTTCCATTTTATTATAAAAGTGTTACATTTATATTTCATCACGTGAACGCGAAATGTGCATATATACGTCCGGTATAACAACATTTTCAAATATTTCAGAGAAAAGCTTTTAGATTTCATGATTTGTGCCCTTAATTATAATCAAAATCGAATTAAAAAAATAAAATTAAAATTAAATTCATTGAAAATACTTAAAAATATGAATTCGGAACAAATATATCTCGGACATATTTAAGGACTGGGAAGACGAGACGACGGGCTTAATTAACTTAGCGGTCGTTTATTTACTGGTCAGTGTTATCTACAGTGATTTATTGTAAAAGTAACAATAGTCGTGTATAAGTTAAAACGATATCATACATATTTACAGATTACTGCTCGATACGATCAATCGCGTGAGAGGAACGTCGATTATTTCCCGTAAAAAGGAAAAAAAGAAAAAAAAATTGCTACAAGAAAAAGGACTCTTAAAAAATTCTCCGCGATTTGCTTCATGGTCATACAAATCTCGAGCCTTTCCGTGCGATTAATTACGATATAAAAATTCTACGACAAGTGACACACGATCGAGGTCGATCGTCGATCTTGAGTCACTCGCAAGATCAGTTTTACTTATCTTGTTTCATTTATCCTAGCTTTTCTTCTTCTCTTCTTTTTTTTTTTAATGTCAGATCGATCCAACGTTAACACTATGATCGATTCCGATCAATTCGTCGTGTATGAGCAACGATGATCGTTCGATTTAAGTAACGATCAAAATATGGAAGTTCGGGCAATTTCACAATAAGCCATCGCGTACGGCGTTTAATTCGAATCGTTTCCCTTCTATTTTATTATGGGCTGGTTATCGAAGAACCATGTCAAGGAGAAACATTATCGAGGATGGCTCAGCTTGAAATTTCGCTTCTAGTTAGAGATGTAAATAGAAAAAAAACAAAATCTTTTTTCATAAAAAACGGTTTTTTTAATGAAAAAAAACCACATCTTTTTTTCAAAATTTTGTTTTCTTTTCAGAGATTTAATATCTTTATATCTTGATTACTGCAAATTGATTTTTCATTATTTTTAACTTTTTAGATGATAGATTTGAATTAACTATTATTATTTTAAATGTAGTTCGCATTCCAATCCTATGGAATGCTATATATGTAGTTATGTAATTACTATTTTTAATTAATAAAAATTTTTGTTATGCGTGTAATTGAAAATTATCCGAATCATGTCGACTTTGATGTAATTTGCCACAAAAGTCTCATTAATCCATTAAAATTACTTTCGAAAAAAAAATAAATTAAAAATATAAGAAATTTAGTTTTTTTTTATTATGTTAACAAAAAACAATATAAAGAAAAATAATGTTATATTGGATTAAATGGAAATTTCGTACCGTTTTTTCGGTCTTCATCTATTAGTAAAAACGGAACAAACTTCCCATTCAACCTAATATTTTAAAAAATAATGAAGAAAAACAAGATTTGTTTTTTTTCAATGAAAAAAAAAAAAACATTTTTCTCAACTGTTTTTTTTCTATTAGAAAAAAACCGTTTTTTTGCATCTCTACTTCTAGTAATTATTCGCTAATCTACGACCGAATAAGTTCCTATCTAATCTCTGAGCTCTCGTCGTCTCTCGCCTCTAGTTCGGATTATGTACAACATTTTTTCGGGATTAAAATGTTTCTCTCTTTCCTATTATCGACATTGTAACCAATATTTTCATATACGATCCATCTAAAAATTATTTTGCGCATAATTGCTGACAAAATGCAGCAATTTACAAAAAAAATCTCGTTTCCCAGAATTATTCAAAAAAAATTACTCGCATAAATCTAATTTATGAGATTGTAGTTTCTATTATTTTTATAAATGTTATTTTTTTATAAAAATTGTTTCGAATAATCGAGAATATATTTTACAATATTCGGAAATCATTGACGCTTATCTCATATCTCTCATATCGAGTTTAAATATTTTCCTCTGCTTTCTGTTATCCTGCTCATCGTATTTCAACTCTTTCGATCTCGCTCTTTTTACTTACAGTAGACTAACCTAGGAATTTGTTCTAAGAATAGTCCTAGTTCTGATTCACCGGACGTTTTTCTACAGTTCACAATAATTCTAATTGCTATAGAAATTTTTTCTCTTAATGACGCCCGAAACTATCTTGACGTTCCCGGAGAGCAATTAACTGCTTGTTTGAAAAAGGAAGAGATATCTTAATTTTTGATTAAGATATTCATTGTCGAACTTTGTTCTTAATGAAAAACGAACACGCTCATATCGATCCAGCGTATGAATGCGTTCACTCAAAATTATAAAAATAAGATCAATGTTCGGTTACATTGACATTAAATTGAGAGCTTCGTTCAAGATGTATGTTTAATAATCAATGCAATGTTTTGACAAAAGTAATAAATATATCGATCGATATCTATTCGATTGTGCCTCAGCAGGGTAAGAAAATAATAAAATCGATAGAAAAACAAAGAAAAAAAATAATAATAATAATATCGCATTATTTAATTATAACATTATAAATAAAAAACCGTGACTCGAAAAAAAAATTACAATTCTTCTTCTTCGAAGAAGAAGAAGAAAGTAAGAAAGCAAAGAGCCTTGCACAAACGATCTCACAACACACCATCTTTGTGCTCTCGCTCTTTATTTAAATAACAAGATTAATTTCTCCCAGATTTCTCGTTCTCGAAAGTTTCTCCAAAGAGACGCGCTGCAGGAGAAATAACTTTAATCGCTCACCGCCTTAATCCTGGAACCTCCATCAATCCAGAACCAGATTCATGTCTTGCGACTTGGTCTCCGTATATTCAGTATAATGAGCGAACGCCCTCTCCCTCTGCAGATCCAGGTGATTCTTCATGGCAACGACCGTGGGATGATGAGGCGGTAGCCCCTCGTCCTCGACGAGATATCGTAAAGCCTCGGTGGCGCAAGCGTCCCATCCGGTTGCCCAAGAGCCAGGATCCTGCTCCTGTTGGCTACCAAAAGACCTCACCGCCTGTGTAGCTCCCGGATCATCTGTCCACCGGCAACGATCGAGGCTGGTAAAATCGAAAGATCGACTGTGTAGCCCCTGACGATCATGACGAAAGTTTCCAAAGTTTCTGAACTTTGTAAAGTTTGCGTTCTGCTCGTCGAGATTGTCGAAAAAATGATCGCGATCGAAATCGATGTCGCTCTGATGAACAGACGTTTTCGGATGGTCCACTTGATGATCCTGAAGGCAACCACGGCCGAGATAACTCGTGTTCTGTATCATTTCCACGTTATGAGTCGAGTCTGGATGCGCAGCTCTATTGCTAGAGGTTGAAGACTGTTTCTGAGAGTACTTGAGTTCCTGGGCAAGCGAGGCAGCGAGCTGATGAAGTAACTTGGTATTCTCCGTCTGCTCGTCATCGTCCTCGAGCTCGTCGATGTCCACCTCGACGCCTTCGTCTTCCGATGACGACAGAAGATCCTCGTCGTCGTCTTCGTCCATGCCTAACAACGTCAGTAACCTCTCGGCGGCATCTACGCAAATTGCAAACGGCCTAGTTATCTGTTAATGCGAAGAAATTGCCACGAAGATTAAAACAAAAGTGAAAACTTTTTCGATAAAGAGGAAAATGCCGACTCTGAATAGATAAAATATCTATTGGAAGAAAACTGACAAAATAAATTCCAAGACAATTTGCAAATCTCTAAAATCATGCAAAATATTAAGAGATTAAAGTATAATATATTGGTCGGAAAACAAGAAAATTAAAAGGGGATATTAAACCTAATTTTACTAGAAAAAATTAAAAAATAACAAGGTAGTGTCATTTTAAAATTAAATATTTCAATTTTGCTGAAATTCATTTATTTCTTGACAATCAAAAAAATAATAATTATTAATTTTTCAAATTCCATTTAGGTTTATTATACCCAAAAATGTATTGGCAAAAGCAGGCCCATTTCGAAACCACCATGCCATCAAAATCTATAACTCCGTCAATTTTACGAATTCTTCGATAAAAATTGAAAGACATTCTTCAGACATCATCCTTTAAGAAAATGTGAAAAAATCGATTTTTTGGCTTTTTAAAGTAGACTGGACCCTTAAGAACGTTATTTTTAGGAGAGACAGGGAAAAGTCTGTTTCTGGAAATGATGGAAGAATTCACCCCGCGCGAACCACGTCGAGTCACCGGATGCCGGTATCGAGATACGAGATACTCTCTCGAAAGAGATCAAGATGTTGCAGATTCATCGCGCTTGATGTTGAATCGACGACAATGACTGAAGAAGAAGCGCCGTCATTGTAACAACCGGACCGCGCGCAATTCGATGAGCGAGTCCGTCGCGAGGTCGACGGCCCGGTTCTGCCCGGACCTGTGGGAATCCTGTCCCATAAACGTCCCACGGGAACTACCTGTCGTCCGAAACCCACACCCCGCGTAATATCCGCCGCCCTGCGAATCGTCCGAATTTCGCACGAGTCTCTCCTCTTTCTCATCTCCCTCGTTTGTGCGCGGTATGTATGTGTGCCTGCGTGTGTGTATGGGCATGTGTGTTATAAATGCGATATGGCACATCGACATCATATGTGTGTGTGCGCTAACACGCCGTTCACACACCATCGCGAGAACGGAAAGGTCGTCCATCGAGGGTAAGTTGGAGATACCTGTTCCTGGGAACTGGAGCGATTTCGATCGGAAGGTGGCGATCGATTAAATTGTACGTTCGGGGACGGATAATAAAAAAAACATAATATATCAGAGAGGCAATTAAGTTATAATTACGAAGATTATTTAATCAAAGATAAGGAGAGGGAATAGCGCAAAACAATAAGGTATATATATGTATTTTAGAGGAATAGTGTTAAAAACCTTGAAATATTTAACGCAATATGATTGATTTAATAAATATTAATATAAATACCGAATTAAAATTTGAGACAATAAAAAAAAGATATACAAAAATTTTATTAAAAAAATATAATCTCCAGCTTTAATGCTCACAAACTTAACATGTAAAATTTGATTATTTTATTTTTAACAGTTTTGAATTAATGTTCTGATTAATAAGACGGTTAAAATCGGAAGAATGTACGTGTGCTTATACATATATGTATATCTCTAGATTATTTCCATATTTTTTTCTCGACATTGCAAATGTGTTCTATCAACGTTTTTCAAACAGTTAAGCATCGTACTTGTTCTCTCTTCTTTCTTGATGCTAATAGAAAAGTCTGGACCAGTCGCGAGAGCGAGTTCGATGATTTTTTTTTTCAGTCATCTCTCTCTCTCTCTCCCTCTTCAAAAGACGTCAATGCGACTCTCTTTGCCGGACGTTCCCACAGGGATACCCGTATTTAAATGCCCTGTTCTCCTATAGTCTACGAGACATGTAGCGAGGTTGGACTGGATTGAGTTAGGTTAGGTTAGGCGACGATTTAAAGGGACTGAAAGGCGCCTAACGAACGAACCGTTTATTTCTAGTCAAAAAAGTTATAAATGGACAATAGGGTATAGTAAACTTTGATATCATGCCACGGATATTACCACCAATTATTCCAACAACTTATTGAATATTGTATGTATGTATATACGCATGTACGTATTGTATATATATATAAATGTGTATATTCTATTCAATGATTTACATAAAATATATAAAACATATATATTTTGCTTACATGAGACAATAATTATTTTTAACCTGTAATATTGTTTCTCAAATACTCGATGTGTGTTCTCTATACAGGCGAACCGTGACTTACAGTTAGAAATAAAAAAAAATAAATGTCTTTTTTTCATAAAATACGATTTTTTCTTAAAAAATGAACAACTTCGTTTATTTCAAAAAATTTTTTCATATATATATTTTTTAACATTTTTACTATCATTAAAGAGTACCGATGTCTCTTACACACAATTGATTTCCTCCATCAATTCATAAATATAAACATCTTATAAATTAAAAACGAATCTTTTTATCTTTTTATTTTAGCTTTTTAAAAACAATTTAATGGATTAATTTTTATTATGCAGAAAAACATTTTTATTATGCATTGAAAATTATTTGAATCATATCGTATTTTTTGCCATATAATTTGCTACAAAAGTCTCATTAACCCGTTGAAATTACTTTCAAAAAAAGATAAGTTAAAAACACAAGAGCTTTAATTTTTTTATTATATTAACCAAAAATATACAAAAAATAATATTATATTTACAAAAATTATAAAAAAACTAAATTTGTTTTTTTAATAAAAAACATTTTTTTTTTTTATTAGAAAAAAACGATTTTTTTACATCTTCACACACATAGCCATAAAAACTTATTGTACTCGATCGGCAATAATGGCGTAATATATCGCCGCTAAAACTATGTGTGGATCGACTGTTATCGTGACCAATCAATTGGCATCTCATCGTGACGATCGTAAATTTATTTACGAGTGACATTACGATTTATATTGTTCAACGATATCGCCTGAAATTGCTCCGTCGAGAGAGGGTCATAATTCTCGTCGGTGAATAGAAATTCCTGTAGCTGCGCGTATACAGAAAGCCGACATTAGCATAGAGAATTCATATATTTCAGAAGAAGATCGGTGAGACGCAAAGTTATTCCACCGAGCAGTAGCTGACTTATATTCCGTGATTAATGACATCGACCTAATAAATTTTAATGGCTCACTCGTTTCGCGAGTAAATACGGATACAAAGTTGCGCGGTTGTACACCGGCTATCACCGAGCGATATCTACGTCATTTGCGCCTTATTAAAAGTTTTTAATCGAAGCGACTCGCAAAAGATTGCATTCCCGTCGCGTTTTCTGGCGAATCATTTTATCGTTATGAAAATCTCCCAACTCGGCGAGTTAATTGGATTGGCTCTCATACAAATAGAAGTAAGTTTCTTTACATAAAAAAGTAAGAAGTAAAATTTTAAGGCTTCCCCCCTCCGAAGAAAAAGATGTTTTTGTGTAGGATTTATTCTATGATCTATAAAAATTATTATATGTTAAAATGTGCAATAAGATTTTATGTAAAAACAAATTCAATTAATATATTTTGATGCTATTAAACGACTAATCCAACAATTTTTTCACAAAATGACAACAACTCTCTAACATTTCATTAACAAAGAGAAATTAATGCGGCTATTCTCACGCTCGAAAAAACCGTTGAAGGAAAACGGCAGAATCCAACGTTATTATAAGAAACACCGGTGACTTTTTTTTATGTATATATATAACGGGACGCGAGCAAAGATTTTCTAGGGCACGAGAATATCGCTGGGGCAGGTATATGCTCCCTTACGACGTCGTAAAATATTTCTACTTTGTGTTCGAGACTAAAGAGAGAAGGAAAATTTTCCGTATTCATGGGTGATTTCAATTTGTTCCATATTACGATGGAATTTCGCAAAGAGGACAGTGACACATAGCAGAGATATACATGTACTTTATTACGTAACTGAACAACAATGTAATTAGGAACGACAGGGGAAGAGCTGACGCAATGCGTAAACGTAATTATCTTGTTCGGAACTCGCATTTTATGCGTGATTCATTTATTAAAGCCCATATTATACACGTTATTTTCATTCCGGCATATAAATCACACAAGCGAAAAATAAGAAAAAAATGCAAATATGTTTCTGAAATTCTAAATTCTTTAAAATAAATAAAAAATAATTTTGAAAATAGAAAATAATTTTGAAAAAAATAAAATAAAATAATTCATGTATTTTGAATTACGATTGATGATTTGCTCATTCCATATTTTCAGTTTTAATTTACAATAACTTTTTTCGATGATTTAATTTATATTACAATTTTTCTCTACTAAGGATTTCAAATTTGAGGCTCGGGACATCTGGATTTAATATGTGAAATATTACAATATAATATAATTAATAAACGCACACGCACTGTCAACCGCAGTAGCTCATTGAACGGCCTTTCTATGCTTCAAGTTTTCGGATTTTTTATTTTGGAACTTGCGCAAAAAAGCTTTTAATTTAATAATTTTGGAATTTAATAGCTTTATAATTATAGGCAATTGTTGTTAAAAATAAGATGTATCAAATTATCGAGAAGCGGATACGTATTTGAATAATTCGTATTTAAAATGAATTACCTCGTATTGTAGGGGAATTATCCGTAATGTCGGTAGCCAGATCAACGAAATCCTCCAATCCTCCGCCATCTCCTCCGCAATCCATCATCGTGTCCTGCGCAAAAGAATATAGACAAAAAGAGAAATCTACTCCGTATAAAGTGTGTTATAAAAGTCGAGTTGAAAAATCAATAAAACAAATAGATAAAATCTATACATTTATCATCACTTCGATTTGATTGCAATCGTATTGTCTGAAGCGAAACTGTCAGTGGAAAAAGAAATTATCCGTAAATTGTTTCCAGAGAGTCGCAGATCACTAAAACGTGCCTATTCGCGGTTTAATCAATTTCTATATGTCACGATTAAATTGCGAGCACGTGTGGAATTCAATTAAAATATTCAAACAAAATTTTATATCGCGGTAAAATATTATTAATGGTAAAATAAGTAATCACAATAAAAAATATGACGTGATGAGAAGTATAATAATTAAAAAGCAGTTAGAATTTTGCTAAGAAAATGTTTCCAAAATTCAACGTAATCGTCAATTTCGAGACTTGCAACGCGCCGTGTCGTAAATTATTGCAAACCAGTAACTACAGCATTATTAATGGCGTCACTTATATAACTTTCGCGTAATATTGCACGCATTAACGATGCTCGGAGTTGCCTTCAAACCGTCAATTTGCCGCGAAACTTAATAATTCGCAAGGAAACGCTATTAGTCCGTTCGATCGAGAAAGGCTTTCCCCAAAATAATTATTGTTCGCGATCGCATATAGGAATTGCGACGATTTCTCTCATCATCGATGATCGCGAGTTCTTTGATCTTAAATTTACCAACTGCACGTTAAATGTTAAAATGAATCAGAATAAAAATAAAGACCTTTCTTTATCTCTTATTTTATTCCAAAATAGATTTATATTAAAGTTCATTTTCACTATCTATTATAAAACATTTATTTATCATATATTTATCCCTTCATGAATATTCTAATAAGCAGCAGTTACGTAACACACGTATAATCTTTGTTACATCAAGCTTTCAACTATTAACAGGATTCCTCAACGTGTTCGTGCAACTCTACACATGGCACATTTCCAGCAATAACCATAAACGGATTAACGGTAAAAAAATCGCCAGCACTTTCACTCGGGCTTTACGCGGCATGTAAGCATAATAGAAATTCTCTTATAGAGGCAATATATTCGGCTTTTTTCTAACGATTTGGCTACCGACCGGCCGAGAGACAGGGGTTTACGATCGACCTTGGCTCTTTATAAGATATCCGAAATTTTTTGTCTCCCGAGTCAAAAAAAATACGCAAGCAGGTAAACTGTAATTGCTTATCCAGTGACCCAGTGGCCGAGGCAATAAACGGAAGAGAAACGGAACCGCGAACACACAAGGCGAAGACAAATAATTGTATTGTATCGTAGAAATGTAGAAGGAGCGTGTCCGTTTGTATCACAGGAAACATACGAGAATCGATTCCTGTACAATGCTTAAGCTCAAGACATCAAGGTTACGCAAGAGCCGTCTCCTCTGGAAGAAAAGGAAGAAAATTGAAAAGGGTTTTTCTGGCGGGAAGAAACTAACTCTTGCCCCGACGAATTTCCTCAGGGACGGGTGAAAGCGAGAACGCACTTGTGAAAGTTTGCGGAATGGAAATTAAAACGATCGCGCCGCCGGTCGTGACGGAAACTTAAAAACGGAAATTGCATCGGAAATAAAAGAAAAAGAGATAGAAAAATAGGAACGCGATCAAAGTAACTTCTGCGCGATCATTGCAGTTCTAAACCGAGTTCTACTCGATAAAATATAAAGTATGGTTGAAGTACGATATATGATCGCGATTAAATATTCATCGCGTAATTAATATTCTCGACCTATATACATACGATCGACGACGATAGCGATGTTGCACGTTTCCGCGATAATAGGATGAAATTATAGCTTCGGCTCGCAACAATGTATTTAACGCACACACCGGTTCGTATAAATTAATATGCATTACCCGAGATTCCACGCCCAAGTCATTCTAACGTCGATTAAGATCGAAAAGAGCGTACTAAAAATATCAAACAGCGCTTCGACCGACTTCGTCTCATTCGTTGCGTGCTAATTATCGCCATTAATGGAAAATAGCTTTAATGATGAAAATTATGGTCATAACTTAATACGTTCGAATCGATATATTCGCGGCTTCTCGTCGCTAATTGCTTCGATATGGAAATAGATCGTAAAACGAGCCTGGATATTCGAACTTGCGCGCGGTTGATCTGTGTCTTCGCGAAATCAAGGAATCGCGATATAATCGACATATGCAAACGAGAAGTGAAAACAAGATTTTGTATTGTGTATAAATTTTCGCCGTTAAGGCTTTCTCCGGATCGTCGAGGAGATAATCGGACGGGAAGGCTAAAATATAGCGAATGCGAAAACTCCGATAACGTCTTTGTCGTTTGATATTCTTTCTTAAGTCTCTTTGATTAAATCGACACGCGCAATAAACGCATGCAAATTCGGATTCGGTGCATCGCGTTCGTATTATTCTGCATAATCGAGGCAGCCAAAGTACGCTCTAATCGATACGCGAAATCGAAGAGCGTAAATAGATCTCGAGACCGTATTTTCTCTCTCTCTTTCTTTTTTTGCAGTTCCGAAGCTTCGCATCAGGAAGGTAAATGGACCAATCCAAACGCAAAGTACATTTGCGATGCATATTGCCAGTTATCCAATCGTGTTTGGCCGATGTATGCAAATCTTGGACAATTCGAAGAAAAATTTATTTACTTTTGTAGCAAGAAACATGAACGTGCTTTAATGAGCTTGCGCAATTGATACACGGAAACGAAAACGCACAACAAACTACGGACGTCGCCCCTTCGTGACGGCCATTCGGATATTCGGGCCATCGATCGCGAGTAAAACGCGAATGTTTAGTTAACGGGTCGCAGACACGCCCGATTATCTCCGGCCAACTATAGAGAATAATCGACTACAGTGATTGTATTACGACAAAAAAATATTTGAGATATATGATTGTAATAAAACTTGAGAAACATATAAATTCAAAAATTTTTACATCGGCGCACTCGGAATTAAAATTATATGTATAAATAAAAATTAATTAATTATACAATTTTCTATTCTATATTTTTGTGTCTTCTTTTTATTAAAATCTCTCGCGATATTTAGTTG